CCGGCATTCTGCGACGAGAATCAAATCTGTTGTGACGTATCAAAAAAAGGCCGGGGACGCGAATTACAAAAGACGTTAAGATTGCACAATGTTGGTTGGGGTGTCGATGTGTTTTTAGTATTGGTTGTTCTTGTAAATCTATGTAATATTTCAAGTCATCATCTTCGTAACGTAATAATACTTGCTATTGGAAAATATATATATATGCTTTTCCTTCGAAAAGACCCGGTGCAGTTTTTATTTCAACAACCATCAATAAAAATCCTTCATTTATAGAAATTAACATTAACAATCTAATGTTTTTTAGTGCGAAATAGAATAATATTTCTGAAACTATAACTAAGATCAAGTTGCTTTTCGTTTTGATTGCTTGCTTTAAAATGGGCTAATGAGTATTATCAGTACAACGTTTGTTTTAACAGAGTTATTAACAATTGAAACATTGGCTATTTTTAATGATTCCTTAAATATTACTCAGCAACTACTGATCAAATTTTGAATCTTTATTTTAAATCCTGCAACTATTGCATATAAGTTTTTCCTGTAAAATTTACAGTTTTTCTGTTATCAACGAAAAACCTCTTTAGTGATGTCTTCAGACGCAATTTAGCAACAATTCCAAAAATTTTTGATAATTGGCAGATATCCTTGATTTACATATTTCTCAAAACCTTTAGTTCTTCAAAGATTATTCGGGCCTTTATATAAAATTACATTTTCTATTTGTAGGTAACATTTACTTTTTCCGAGATTCTAATTTGACTGGTCCATAAACGAATGGTGCTTGTCGACCCTAGTAAATGCAATGTTACTGGTCTCTTTTGAGTTGTAATACAGGTATATGTAAAGAATAATGTTCAAAATATAATGATCTGATCGGGGTTTTGTTTCCCCAATCCTTGCAACAAATGTTGGATCAGTTTACTGTTCCCCCAAAATTGAAAGATTAAATAAAGTACATATTCGCATTTCTGTGTTTTCTTTGTAAGCAGATATAGCTTGTATGAGACTCATAATGAATGAATCTGAATAAGTTACTAATATCACACAATGTAAGTACCTACCTACCACTATTGATGATCACTATCGCTGTCAATTAATTTAATTTTTCGAAAGTTTATTTGTATTTTATATGTTTACCTGTCCGACACCAGATTTGACGCGTTCGTACCGGACCCGGAGCGAACCGGTTACAGTATTGTCACGCAATAAAGCACCTTCCTCACATTACCAAATTTATTTAACAATTTTCTCTTTATAATTAACAGTATTAATATTAATTCGCCATTATTTCAACACTTTGTCGAATCTTCACTGCCCCTTCCTAAAAGTTAGTATCTTTTCATTGCTTAGATTAGGTGGCCCACACGATTAATTCCCTATCCTCCCAAGATCCCTCAGGCTGAACGGTGGCTAGATTACAACAGATCGATGAGAGTTCTTTCATTTTCTCAGAAGAAAGGGCAGTTTTCCAATACGGATTAGGTTGGGCACAATAGTTAACTTAGACTACGGCCCTATAGACCGAATCTTCATTCTACAATTGGGAGATGGAACGCTTTGGAATATTTGATGGAACTCTTCAAAATTTTCCTCCTCCAATCCTGAGTCTTCTACAACCCCCCACCCAACACCAATTGTCACGTACTCAAACACCTTCTCGCAGTATTACTATTTGCTTTCTAATCAACACTACTATTATTAATTAATTGTTAATTGACCTTGTATCGTCTCGTTACTCCAACTCCTACTATCCTACCTCCTTTGATCACACGGCAACTATTTATAGGGATTGATCTTGGATAATCCAGAATATAACGTCTAGAAAATCTGGTTTTCTTTGTCACTATGGTGTATGTTGGTTTGACTACATACATGTGACAATACTTTAACCAGATAGCAATTAATATAAGGGTTCCATCATGACTTTTTGGAAAAAATGAGTGAAGAGTTGAATGAATATTGATCATTATCAAAGAAGGTAACTTACCTCCATCCAAATGACCTCTATGTCGAGTGATCCAGCTATATCCAGGCCCTGATAATGTGGCGCGGGTTGTGACCTTAAAAATAATGTTGGGAGTGTTGAAACGACCTGTTACGTTATGTGTTTTACCTGTATTAGACTAATAGTATCAAATTCGTTGTATGCTATGTCATGTTATATACTTACCTTTGTTTCGTTGAAATTGTATTTCAACGGGAAAGAGATGTTTAATGTATTTAGCCACTGCAGCTGAGTATTACTCACTGTATGTTTTAGCTGTCGCGCCAAGCAACCTTTAACCGCTTTATATGGCGGAGGGGGAAATTGGGGTTTAATCGACAAAAGTTCTGTCCTACTATGTTCGACATTATAGAACTCACATGTTTAACTTAATTCTGCTTCCTTAATGTTTAAATATTATAAATGAAGTTTTAAAAGAATGTACATCATTACAATTTCCGAACACTATCATAAGCTTTTTGATAGTCAATATAGGCATATTACAAATTTCTATTTCGCCGTCTACATTATGTGTGTATTTCTGAGTCTATCTCTAACTATTCTTTAGAACTTCTACCTCCTTTGTAGCACCCCTTTTGTTCCTCTGCCATTATTTTATTTTGAAATATATGTGTGTATATCTTTTTTGTAATTATAGATGTTAACAATTTATATATTGTTGGTAAGTAGGTGTTTGGGCGGTATTTAGCCGGGTTTGTGGTTTCATTATCTTTTGGTTTAAGGTAAGTAATGCCGCGTGCCAAAAAAAAGTGGGATTATTTCTGGATATATGTGTGTGACTGTAAAGGTTTTACTGCAAAAATTTTGTAATTTATCAGATCCTGGTGTTTTCCAGTTGTGAGTTTTTCGGATTTCTTCTTTGACATCATCGATTCTTACTCGTTCTTCATCCTATTGTCAGTTTTTCTTTAATTAGGTTTTCGTTTCGTTTCAGTCTCTTAGCTTTTGCCTGTAATTGTTGTTTCATTGCGTCTATTTCTTCTTTAACTTCATCAATACTTCTGTTGGTTCGGTTTAACTGCCTTCGTTTCTTTTTACTTAAGTTTTCCAATATACATTGTGTTGCTTGCGCTATTTTCTTTCTTAATATATTTATTCGATTTTTTAAGCGCTTTTCCCAAGCCAGATATCTTATATGCATTTTATTTGTTCAATATGTTTGTTACTGTTAATGTCCGGCATAAATCATGTTAATAATATTTTCTAGAGTGGGGTTCTGATATATTCTGTAACATACCTTGTATTAGTAAGTTCAATATATTAACAGTTGTCAGAACTTTATTCTCATTCTCTTGTAATTTAGGAATCATTAGCCTAATTTTTGGATCCATGCTTGCATATTTTATAAAATTTTCTGGGAAAACACTTTTCAGTTTATCGTATTATTGTTCATTTTCCGTGTTTATGAAATCATTATTTTCTTCAGGTGTACTCTCTTTCGAATTTTATGTGTTGCTTATGGGTAATTGTGTAAGTGCTAGGTTATCCTCTGCCAGAATAGTGCTTTCTACGATATTTTCATCGTACTAATGTTGAATAAAGCTTCTAAATTGTTATTGTATAATTTTGCAATCAAACAATAACATCCTGTTATTTCGATGTATCACTCGTATTTGGTCAGATAATTTTTGTTGACCTATAAAATTAAGTTCAGGATAAATTTCAGTGAATTTTCTATGTAAAAGTGATCTATAGCCCGCTAAATTGATTTTCAGTTCAGTCTCACTTCGTAGTAGTAGCATAGTAGTTACCTATTTATGTCATCATTCCATTTCATTCGCTACCTATAAAGGTTAGCAGCAGTGGTTGCAGGTTTTCACTGGTAACTTTTAGCAAGTGAAGACGGGCTAATCCCAAAGAGCCTCACTCACATCTTTTGCGAAATAATATTGAAACTAATTTTCTGTTCTTAAATTTCATAGAACTAACAGCCCTGAAATATGATCAGTGATTATTAAAAACTCCGCTTCTAATTTAACTTGTTGTGTTTTCTGAAAAGGGGGATATGCCAGTACTGTTATTATTATTATGATTGTTATTATTGTGTTCATATCGTGTTGCTATTACTCGCTTTTCCATATTTACTTATACGATCGTGTTCATACCTTCCATACAGAGCTAGTAAGTGAAATGGATTAGGACGAGGAGGATGCTGTGATAGCTTATTCGGCGTACAATTCTTTGAAGCGCAAGGGAGGACCCGAATGATATAACAGTTTATAGCGCATACTTTATAAAGATAAGGAAGGAGAATTCTAGATTGTATTTCGAAGACTGCAGGACGACCAGTTAAATTTGTGACGTAATTCAGAATGAGTTATACGAAATTTGCAAATGTAATGGCATTCAGAAAAACAAAACACTAGAGGGGTGGCTCGCTTAAACAGTATAGGTCTGGTCTATTTTAATTATACATTTGACGTTTCCTTAAGATACTTCTAGTCTATAGATATCCTACATGGGGAAATTTGCAAATATCTTTAAAATTTTAGCTACAGAGCTTTGCAAAATTATGTATACACCTTCGTTACAATTATATTTAGATATAACTGTGAATTTACAATAAATGTGACAAGTCAAATTTTCTAGGGCGTTTTGTCTGCTCATGAAGTGGTAACTCCTTTGAAAGCTAAGTAGTTGAAAATTCGAAGAAAATTTTTGTGCTATTTTGTGTGTGCTGGGCAAGTAGTGTGGCAAGAAGCAGTTTGACAAAGTCGAATAATGATAGGTATTGGCGTACAAGCAATTCGCATGTTTTTGTAATAATAACAAATGGACGTTTAAAAATGCATTCTATTTAATACAATTGATATCAGCGTAATGAAATACATCTCCTTATGACAACTAAATGCTCGGACAAAACAATTGAGTAAAAGGAATCCGATATGTTTAATAGAACATTACGAAAATAGTTGTAATTATAGATACAAACGAAAAATAATAGACGTTTTAGCTACAGAAAAGACGTATTCCATTGAGAAATATCGACTACTTGGCGAAAAATGGATTAAGATTGAGCCTCATCATAATTGAGGGTTATGCACCTCTACTGTTGTTACAACTGTTGGTGATACGGTAATGATTGGTACGACTGCTGTTCTTGTTGCTGATGCTGTTGTGTCAGTGATTGCTGTTGCACGTGTCGCAACAGCTGCTTCTTAAATATAACAATTTCTCTATTATTAACGATATCCAATATTGCCCGTGTTGTTGTTTCCGCCAACTCCATATCAAGGATATTTCCATTGAATCGACCATGTCCTCAAAGAAAACTAGCAATTTTGCTTTTCTATAAAGAACTTGCTGCTCTGCTAGCAATAAAATCCCGACGTATTGGTTCTTAAGGCAAGGGTTGTGTCAGTGATTTTGATTGTTGTCTGGAACCTCGTCGTTGCATCGATGTTCCTAATGCTCTTAAGAATGCCCTAGAGCAATCTGGAGATGATGAAGGACTGAATACTCTCCGAGATCACCTCTTTGTTTCTTTATTCGCTGTGCATGTTTAGGATGTTTCACACTATTTCGCGGTCGTTCAGAAAAGAAGCGAAGAATTATATTTAGTATTCCAGTCTTCATTTTTTAAATTTTGTAGTAGATTGCAAGGATACAGGTACAGCGTCTGCAAATTTTGTCGTTTATATAGGTCAGCTCGGTAACTATAAAAGACACAAAAAATTAATGGCGGCTTCTTGATCTTTTTTTTTTATTACAAATTTATTCGTATTTTTAAAAACTTGCTATCGTCTTTTACTTTCGAGTCATAAACTAGAGCTGAAAATTTCCTAGTTATGGCTACATGCTCATTTCTAAGTAGTTTGTAACATTAAAGAAATTTACGTGTTTGAGGCACTATTTAACATAGAATGCAATGGCGTCCGAAAAATTAAAAAAAAGATCATCCTCTTTCAAGTAATATAAGGGCTCTTCTGCGATTGGTAACTATTTTTTTAAAGAAAACAATCTATTTGTAGTTTACTCTTTGAGGAAAAATTGTGCTTGCTGTCACTTATCGCAGCTTAGAAGTAATGCAATGGTGCGGTAACAAAATATTTAAAATTCCTTAAAAATCTTCCCTTTCCTTATACTTGATAATTATACCTGTTGAAACAATATTCTTGACACCAATTACAATAAAGATTGACGAAACATTCTATAAATAGTGTTTTATTTAAGTGTCATCTTAGAGTGAAAACAAATTACGATGTTGTACCTACTATATTTATATGTATATGAACGCAAATGCAATTTTACTTATTTGCAAAATATTTGGACCATAATATGTAACTCATTAAATACTTAATTAAATACGGTTCTCTATGGAAGCTTATTACTAGTAGTTGCTCGTTAACTGCAATCGCGTTGATCTCTTACCTACTTCCAATATATCGTTCCCCAATGTCTTCTCAATTCTACTCTCTCTCTACAAAATTTCGCCTTCCAAAAGTTAAACTTCGAAGTACAATTCTGAGGGTATAAAGGAATTGTAGAAAGCTTACTGTTCGACAGATGATACTACTGATGATATCGATATGGGGTTAATTTATTCCATCATGTAAATGTTTATTGAAATACACAATACCAAATGAACAGGCAACAATATTAATTCGTAATAGGTAAGGTGGTAACAGGTGATAATGAATAACTAAACATTGGATTGATGTAATTGAAGGTGAAGAGCGATAACTTTTTCGATGCTGTGCCCTAATCAATTGCGAACGTTGGAGTGTATGAACTAAGATTCGAATTCGCGCCCCACTTCTATAGGTTGTCCACAGATCTGGCGTTCGCTGATCCGATAATCTTCCTGGTAGTGATTATCAACTCGACGCACAGAATCAACGTCTGTTTGCGCTAGCGGCGCTTGAAGCAGTCCCGTTGTTAATTTGGTTTAACTAATAAACTCGCATACTTTTTCCGCATTTGTGTTAAAAACAGCATGAATATGTAATAATTCATTTATTTAGGCAGTGAATATCTCGTAACACTATATTTACATCCATCTTCCTTTTGCACAATTTTTTCGATTTTGGCATATGTATTATAATTCGTTCTATTCACAAACCTCACCTCTATCTGCACCTGCGTACCGTGTTGTACAGATTCTATATAATGGAAATCCTAGAGCTAACATTTCATTCAGTGATCCTACAATTTTTTCTATTTGAATCGTTTGGAGATAAAGATGAGGTTATATAACAAATTATACAACAGTGAGCAATTATAGTAAAAATTTTACTATCAATGACGTGTGCTTAAAAAGATGTGCGAGAAACAATACTCCCAACAAACTACATAAAACAAATCGAATATGATAATTTAAACTTTAAAGCTAATTGACATGTTTTGGAAGATTATTTTGGAACAAAATTATTTCCAGTTAAAATTGGAGCATTTAAATGTTTGTAAGTAGTATGTAGAAGAAATTCATTATCTACGAAACGTATAATACAATAATACTTAATAATTAGGTTAAATTGTTATTTAATAACCACTGCTTACTCTAAAAGATTATCATTATTTGTTAAACAATTTTCTGTGAATTAAATTATTTTAGAAATAGTTTTGTTCCAAGGTGTTCTGGACTTGTGTGTCAAAAAGAAAAATTAATTTACAAATATGCTATTATCTTTCCCTTTTTGAAACACAAAACGGGGAGGATCAGAAACAGTAGGTGTTTAGCTTTGTGGTCGAATATTTAATTATTGTGGTGTAAATTTACAAATGACACGCTTACATTTATATTACATTTCAAACTACAAATCATTACTGCACTTAATTTAAAAATTCATAATACTTGTTGCCATAATCTTCAAACTCTAATCAGCATTTAGAATCCATCTTATCGACTTTAACAAATTTGCATTAATATTATTAAGTAGTCGAAAGTTATTAAGTGAATTTCTTACTATTGTAGTTGTATTGCATTATCCGTGCAGTAAACGTTTTATTAATGACATATATTTTCATTGTGTTGTGAGACAGAATCGCATTTTTCGAGTTTTCTTATGTATGTTATCTTATGTTAGATACTGTACATTTTCGAAATGAAGTGACAACATACTTTAACGTTTTTCTTTACAGTTAATGACCATTCTCGCTCGAATGCAACAAAATAGTAATTCAGTTTTGTTATAATCTTTTATATATAAACAGAACATATAAATACATTTTATAATATTAGACAGGTGGCCAGGGTTATCTCCTTTATTTTAAATAAAACGTNATTGTATTTGCGTACGACGTGTGATCATACATTTAAATGATCATCTATCGATTTAAAACTAAGGCAAAGACAAGATTATCCTCATTCATACACCACGTATTTAGAATTAAACATGCATGAAAAATGCACGGTTCAGGATTTTCATAAAACACTGTTAACAATTAGGTAACGTCAGTTTTTTCAACGAAACAACACTTACAAGTAATGGGGAACAATGACGAGGCGTTCACGACATTTACACCTGTATTATATACGTAAAACAAACATTGCAAATTCAGAACAAAAAGAAGGTTTAAGTTTTAGAATGGCATCCCTTTTAACTCTCTTAATTTTCAAAGGTCTCTTAATATTTGCTAATTTTTAACCTCATTAATATTAAGTATTGCGTATTTACAACGCATTTAAAATTACTTGCTTATGGTTTTGATATATCAAAATATTTATAAAGCAAACTGCTACAGTATACGTCTTTGCCCAGTCTTTCAGCTATTCAAAATTTATAGCTAAACCAACAAAGTCGTTCAGAAGCTGATAATTTATTTTTCTAAAACTTGTTTAGTTAGTTCTAATTTACAGGGGATTAATGATTCCCAGCAGAAACTTAATAATTAAATAAAAAATAAAACACTCGAAATTCCATAAAACGTGTAGTGACGCGTTTAGACACTTAATGTGTCATCTCTAGTTGGAGAAAATTACTTCTTGTGCTGATTGTAATTATGGAGCTGCAGAGGAGCTTTCTCTTTTTTAACAACTGGAAGTGGAGATTTTCATAATAAAGCATTTGAACATTTCAAATTTACGTTTTCTTGCTGGCGTATTTTAATTAATTAATCCAACCTGGACTTTACATTCTGCAAAATTATTGAATTCTATATTATCATTCTTACATGGCTTTTTTACAAAACTTTTACCACAAAGGATTCTACCGTTTCGAAACAATTAAAGTTCTGTTTATATACTAGCGTGGAACACAGAAAATATTTTAAACAAAAAATTATCTAAGCTGCAAAAACGCTTTCAATAAAAATATGTAAAGTTTTTAGGCCAAATATTAATACAATAGATGAATTAGTGGTCGAAACGTTGAGATTGCAATATTGTCTCAAATCTTTGACTTGGTTTGATAATTGAATTTCGTACTGGAATGGCACTGCTCTTGTGTTGCAATCCTAATAAAGTACGTTTCATTTGACACAAAACAAACATCTAATAAGTATACTTAATTATATACATAACCTTATGAATTGTAGATCTGTTACATTTATAAATATCTCATTTATTTATTTTCTTGCACTTCGAGCGACTGGCAATGAAAAATTTAAGGTCTATTGCACATAGCTAGCTTTACATGCGCACCCGTTAATTATCTATAGATGTCAAAACCTTTTTGGAGTTTTAGCATTACTGTAAATAAGTAAAAACAAAACACACTTGTTCAAGGCTTCACAAAATTTCTTTTAAATTAAGTTAAAGCAAAAATATATAATATTCTTTTTACAAATATAATTTGTCTGAAAATAATCTATTTATTATCATTTCTAGAGTTACATACCCGATGGCGCTGTCAAAGCTCTTTTCGTTTGTTTAGTTAACAATCGCAAGTATTTATCTCCCGCGCAGCTAAGCTGTTACCACCAGTTAATTGTCAGTGGAAAGATTAATGTGGCACCTCGTGGGCCAAAGTTGCATAACAAAAACTCCGTAGTTGATTTCTGAAGTTTTGTGGACGAGTTGTAATAAAGTAAAACCTGATATGTATTGACATATAGCTTTTGAAAAAATGTAATGTGATAACCACTTGCGCTATTGAAAATAATAATATGATCTGTTTCCTGCAGTACCAGCCACAAAATTTTTCTCCAGTACCGGCCACTAACAATAAACTCATTACTGACTACATTTACTTGCTTTAGATACGCTATGGTGCCAAGCAATAAAGATTATACTAGAGAAACGAAAAAAAAGAAGGCCACATGGGATCCTGATAGTATGCACAAAGCTGTAGAAAAGAAGAATTACTATTATTCTTTTATGAAGATACATGGCGATTTGTCGTTACAGACCGCTGAATCAACTAGTTTAAAGAGAGCAGTCTCATCCACCCAGTACGCCAACCCAGGAAGAGACAATTTGTCCTTTATGCCCCGAATCCCATGAAGAAGATTGGATACAATGCGGAATTTGTAAAGTTTGGATTCATGAAGCTTGTGTAAACGTACCGGAGCTCTCAAATCAATACATTTGCGATTATTGCATTATATGACTGGCGATGTTTGTATTGGCCGGTACTGGAAGCCAATTTCTTTAATATAAGTTTTTCCTTGTTTCACAATTTTGTTTCTAAAGTTAATTATTACCTGGTATGATGATATTTTACTGTTTTCCCTTGTATCTTATGAGTTCCTTAATAAATACCAGTAAATACTTAACATGTAAGTTGAAGTATTTTTTTTTATTCCAAAAAAACCTTAAAAGCGACGGTACTGCCGGAGTCTCCCCTACTAATGAGAGTATACTTACTCCTCAGAATATTGTGCAATGAAGAAATATTTCCAAATATTTACCACATTTTAAAAATATTTGCAACCCTACCTACCACTGTCAACCTGCACTACAGAAAGATCCCACTAGACATTGAAGCGATTGAAGTCGTATGCTAGGTTTATTGTTTTATTTACGTATTCCACCAAAAAATGAGTAGGTAATGCTGGAAATTTCAACTTCAACCCCCCTCCAAATTGCTGGTTGCGCCGCCTGAGGCAAGTACGTACCTATTAATATTTTATAAGCTACCCTTAATTAATTAAAATTTCTCACTGGAAATGCAGCAACAAAAAAAGTATAGAGTACTATTTTATTGAAGTTTCTATGGTAAAAGTATTAAAATATTATATCTATCCATCAATCCTAACAAAAGTGTTTTGTTCTTTCTCTGACCATGATCGAACAAATGAAAATTTTACAAGGAATTAAGTAGGTGTAAAAGGTAGGAATTAAAAAATTATCTCAAAAACTATATACAGGCATATTGTAATTGATAATAGAAATGGGCGAAATAATTAGTCGCAATGTGACAGAGAATAACTACAAAACAAAGGTTCTCTTATGCAATAGAAATAAGAGTAATACAAAATGGTTGATAGAGATTATCATAAAATCACATAATTTGTAAAGTATTGCTGAGAGCATTCAAATATAAAACATATACTTTCAAGAGCATTTCTTGATTCTATTTTTTACATCTGTTCAACTCCTCGGGAAGTTTTGATTATTACTGGTAAATTATACTTCCTTTTATAAGTATTTTATAAATTTATTATTGGTTAAATGGTAATTTTCTTGAGCAATAGACCTGCAAAAAGTATAATCACAAACTTTTAACCAGATTATACTCATTCATAACAAAAATGGAATGTGACATCACTGAAATAACTTGCAACTATTATCCTATAAGTAACTAAAATAAGAAAAACGATTCGCATTCGATTACCGTCGTCTATAATTATAATAATTTCATAATATATTGTATTTGCGTACGACGTGTGATCATACATTTAAATGATCATCTATCGATTTAAAACTAAGGCAAAGACAAGATTATCCTCATTCATACACCACGTATTTAGAATTAAACATGCATGAAAAATGCACGGTTCAGGATTTTCATAAAACACTGTTAACAATTAGGTAACGTCAGTTTTTTCAACGAAACAACACTTACAAGTAATGGGGAACAATGACGAGGCGTTCACGACATTTACACCTGTATTATATACGTAAAACAAACATTGCAAATTCAGAACAAAAAGAAGGTTTAAGTTTTAGAATGGCATCCCTTTTAACTCTCTTAATTTTCAAAGGTCTCTTAATATTTGCTAATTTTTAACCTCATTAATATTAAGTATTGCGTATTTACAACGCATTTAAAATTACTTGCTTATGGTTTTGATATATCAAAATATTTATAAAGCAAACTGCTACAGTATACGTCTTTGCCCAGTCTTTCAGCTATTCAAAATTTATAGCTAAACCAACAAAGTCGTTCAGAAGCTGATAATTTATTTTTCTAAAACTTGTTTAGTTAGTTCTAATTTACAGGGGATTAATGATTCCCAGCAGAAACTTAATAATTAAATAAAAAATAAAACACTCGAAATTCCATAAAACGTGTAGTGACGCGTTTAGACACTTAATGTGTCATCTCTAGTTGGAGAAAATTACTTCTTGTGCTGATTGTAATTATGGAGCTGCAGAGGAGCTTTCTCTTTTTTAACAACTGGAAGTGGAGATTTTCATAATAAAGCATTTGAACATTTCAAATTTACGTTTTCTTGCTGGCGTATTTTAATTAATTAATCCAACCTGGACTTTACATTCTGCAAAATTATTGAATTCTATATAAGTAGAAGAATTGAGAATTAGGTTGAAAGTAACCTAACATTATTTAATTTTCTTGGAATTATTAAAAAATATCAGAAAAAAGTAGGTAGATATTGAAATAATTACTGTGAATGTTTTTAAATTTTCCTAATTCTGTAACACAAAAGAATATGAAATTGAGTTTGGTAGAATGATCGCAATTAGACGTCAATTCTGCTTAAAAAAATAAGCAGTTGGCAGTCAATATCAGTAAATAGCGTTTTAATGTCAATAATCTGAAGTTCTTTATTGACCTTTTTATATTTTTACATATCTTCTACTTTTTTTTGTAATTTTTAAGTACCTTTTTAATGATTGCAATTTTAAAGTTTTTAAAAATTTCTTTTCTCAATTTTCATAGCTATATTGTATACAATACTTTATTTAAACTTCTTTTGGTAGTATTTTAGAATTTTAATAATAGCTAGATAAACCTTCTTTTTGTGAATTCACTCGATATAACGTTTTCTAAAATATGATCGTTGGAACTCCTTGTAAATGACTAGAAAAAGAGGGAGGCACCCTGTTTAAAGAAGTCTATATTGTTTACATTAACTATCAGTGTTTATATTCGGGGTACCTCTTTGGCCGGTGAATAGTGGCATGCTCTGGGGGATGAGAAGACGAAGTGATCGTAGGTACTGGAGCAGGAGCACGAGCTATACTGGAAGGTTCTTCACTGGCTGAGCTGCTAGGAGAAGGAAAGTATTCTCTAGGTGGAGTACTGCTAGGACCAGCTTGCCCTCTGTCCACCATCACCATTTCTTCACTTGCCCAACGAGCCAATTGCTGTTGAGTTTGAATAAAGTCGTCGCTGAAATACACAATGTTGTGTAAATAACTAGAAACCGGCAACGACATATTGATGCGGTTTTTGGCAGTGGTCCGTGAAATTTTACTTTTCTTTGCTGACAGCATCTTCAGTGGTGACTGGGCAGGTGCTGAGTCTTAACTGATGAGTTCTCAGAACGGCGAAACGTTTAGAAAAGTAAAATTCCACCGACCACGTCCAAAAAGTCCGGAAGAAAACACCGCATTGATATATGCCAGCCGTGAAAGCCTAAGAACTAAAGTAGGCAACGACAAACTGTTTTCTTAATTATACTATAAAAAGAAACAAATGCAAGAAATTGCGGCAATTTTGTTTTATACACAAATTTAATACCTTTCACTATCAGGAGTATCTCCACATGGAGCCACCCCTCGATCATGATCTGCACTTTCGTAAATACTTTCTTCTTCGGCGGGTTGATGATGTGGATGAGGATAAGGAAGTCTTGATGCGGATTGCTTGTACCTACTACTTCCATACATAAAGCGACTATTGCCACTAATATCTCTGTGTGACTGATGAGAGCTTTCACTGCATGCGGATGACGATTCTTGACGATAATGACGATCTGCTTCTGTTTCTGACATGCGTATGTCTTCTGAACCACTTGGACTCATATGACGTGAGTGATGCTCCAGTTGTCGTATTAAGTCTTCTAAATTACGTATACGTATCGGTCCGCAAGGAGGTACTTCATCTTCTTCTTCTTCAGCTTCTACAACAATCTAAAAAATGAAAAACAAACGAAACTAATTTTACCTGCACTCAAATTAGGTTGACGGCTTCATATTGATTAAGCAAGAGTTTTGTTTGCATTTTTACTTGTTTACAGGTTATACGTAGTGTATCAAACAGAATGATCTGATTTCAAAACATCATATTTATAGATGCAAACGTACTACCAAACAGACTTAAAATGCAAAATATCTGAAAAAATGTACAGTTTCGGCTATGCTTTATGTGACAACTATACAAACAATATTGAAGAGTTAGCTAAGTTTGTCGTACATTATACGTAACAAATCTGCGTTGACAGCCGTCACGGTAACTGTTTTAACTCTTTGAATTAAAGGGCAGACGAAACCGTGTTCTTTCACGTATCCCAAAATAAAAACGACATGAGTCAAACGTGCACGGCAATGTATCGCAGTCTTATACGTTCAATTCAGTGTTGAAGCAGTGTGCTATTTAGGAATATTTGTACGCTGTTGTGCCAGTGTGGTGGGGCTGCACTTTGTTAGTGTAAGAAATCACTGGAGTTATCCCCACATTGTGCAACAGTCGGAACTAGCTCAGTCCATCCAACCCCAAGTCATGCCCATCTTATATGCATATATTTCCTTCCTATAATATTACTTACTCCATAACTGTAACACTCTAGAGTCAGACCATTCTTCTTGATACACGATGTAGGTATGTATATTGAACTATTTCTGGAAAAAAACGTCACCGCTTATTCCATTCTCTCTTCATTTGCCGTCTATTTTTGTACCAAGAGGGGCACACTTAATTAATTCATAGCGCACAGACGGTCCTGCTATACCGCATATATACTATCTTACATCACGACGCAGGAGGGGTCGGAATACTGTTCCCTTAAGATAATAATTATGAAAAACAACCGAATTTGACTGGCCCCATTTGAAAATATAGACTAAAACTTTAATCTTATTAACCTGGGTTAATTAGACGTAGAGTTTGATAACACACTGCTGTGAGGATTACATTGTGTGTTTACTTTAAATTCTATCTGAACAGTATTATGAATACATTTTACAAAAAAATCATGAGATAATTTGGATAGCTTTATCACGGAATAACTTACCTGAGGCTCACAGATCTTCTCCTGACTATTTGAACGCTTGTAGTTTGGATACGATGATGATATGCATTCTTGAAGACTCCTCCTTAAAACATCGTCGTTTAATATAGTTTGACTTCCAGAAGAGGTTGACGAAATCCTGAACAAGTAAAGTTAAAATGTCCAAGATTTTTAGAGGTACTTTAGCTTATGTTGGTAAAATGCGTGTAAAAAACTGAAATTTATTTTAACTTACTTATCATTAGTTAATACTAGAGAGAAATTAGAAAAGGCCTGTGTTTATTTTCGAAATATAACCCAAAACCGGATAGCGATTGTTGCACACAGTTAATCTCTTTATTAAAACATAATCGTAGGGTAGACATTGTAATGGATCCGAAAATCAAAGTAGTAGTCTATAATATATTTTTTTTCATAAATACAACAATCATTGTACCTAATTTATAACAAAGCACCATCATCGCATAGAATGATTCATATTGATATAAAGATGTTGAGTCCCTGGTATCGCCGTTGTGCTGATACTGCCGCCACCTAATTCGCGTGCACTTCATGCTACGATAAAGGCAGATAAAATTGTAACACGGTCATAGCACCGCAGCCATGTAATTAAAATAAAGCAGGTAAAAACTGTTAATCACAACGAACATATGTGATGCAGAAAAGAAAACGATCCTTTTGGATGGATTACACAACAAAACAATTAAACGTAAAATCAAAAGTATGTGCTCTACTCACAATCTCAAATGTTTAAAAAGAAACGTTAATTCACCTTTTTGTTCATTATTATTAATTTTTTCATTAATTAGCTTCCATGAAAAAAATTCAATAAATACGTTTAGAGAGCGTACATACTAAATCTATCCATTTTTGCTGTGATAGATTGCAGGTCCAATTAATCTCTGTGGCCTAGCGTCCATTCTAAGTAGTTCCAAATTTCAAGAAAGTCTATAATATGGCGATAGCACAGACTAACGGGAAATCTCCAAGCCAAATAATACCGTAAACAGAAAAATTTAATTAACTAATTTGATAGAGATGAGAGCACTACAAGAGATTCTTCTTTTCCAAACAAAAAGAGCTAAGCGTTTTTTAATAACCAGGGAAACAAAACCAACATCAAGCCGTAGGGAGAATTCTTCTAATCATTAGTGCTGTCCTCGACATAACACAAATTGGCACAAAATCCACAATCAGTTATAGAGTTGTTCTTCAACAAAGCACAAATTGGTACAAAAGCCAAAATTAGTTGTAAGGTCGACGAAATTATGGTGTAATTCGGAGGCAGATGCGGATGGAAGAAATACATGCCTAACAAACTATGTAGAAATGGTTCGGAAATAAAATGTCTAACTAATAATACTACTTATTTATGAAGAAGGAAAGCTTCTAGTGCTAACACAATGCGTACTGCGTTTAAGCGAAACCTTTTGTGAACACAAATAGAAGCATTACTGCTGACAATTGCTTTTTAGCGTTAACAGTATAGTACGAATTGAAAAAAAAAGAACTGAGATACGTCAAAACGCTAAAGAAGAATAAAAAGGAAATTCCACCAGACCTTCTTGATTAAAACTGTCAAGCTCTTTCGAATGTGTGTGTCTTCACAAAAGAATTTATATTATGGTTTTATTATCCTAAAAAGAACAAAAATGCCATGTTGGTATCATGTACATCACGAACAGATTACGTATCCGAAAAAAGGAATTCCAGAGATGATATCATTCTATAACCCGGCAAAATGAGGCGTGGATTCCTTAGATGAGAAGTGTGCTATGCGTGAGAAAGTCTAAGCGGTGTCCAATGGTCGCACTCCACACAATTTTGAATATTGTCGCTAATTTTTTTATAATGTTAGCTTAACCCTCTTCAGACCGCTTGAATTTCATACAGAACTTTGGAAGAAACTTAGTGACGCCCCATCTTGGGCAAAGATATGAAGTAACACAATTTTCAAACGAACTGAAGTAACATTGGCCGGATTCTAGAGCTACAGGAATTGAAGGACTAAAGCCTGAAATTGAAACATTTGTGTTTTAAGCAAAAGCAACGTAGAACTCATTACGGGCAACTGGTGTGCGGCCGTACAGTATCTTTGCAGTATTCAAAACCGATATGCACTAACTGTTGCTAAAAACTGTCTAAATTTAAGATTTTTACAGAGTTATAAAATTCTCGATAAGACCGTTCTAATTGCATCCAAGAACCAAAAAAAAGAAGTTCCCATAGTTTTTAGTTCTTTGTTAATTTTTTAAAATTATGAATGTTTGTAGCCATATATGTAAGTTTGTTTATTAATAAGTATGTCTGTTTATAACATTTTATAAGTTCCGTATTTTTTTGTAATAATTCGGAATTACATAAAGAAACTGTGTTATACAATTTTTCAATCCAGTGATAATTGAGTTCGCAAATCGTCTTTGTAAATATAAAGGTACAATTTGTTTCATTATGGGCCTGGATCTAAGCGACTAACGTCGCTCGGCTGATCTAGTGTGCCTATAACAAGTACCTACTGAGAATAAACCGAATGCACTTCCACCTTGTAAGAAAAAGTAAGTGACAAAGAAAAGCGTACCTTTTATAAAAGAATGTTGAAATTGTCCGCCATTCTCTTCAATGCAACACCGAGAACGGCGTAGCCAGTTGCTGCGAATTTTAGCCCAGATATTTCGAATTATACGAAAGGCATTGGTAACTGATGGAATAAGAACTCTACTAGAATGCACCATTACGCAACTAATTTTCCTTATTGTAATAGTCTTTTATGAAATGACCACTAAATAAATAAACTGACACTAACAAACTAAAACTACGATAATATGTGTATTTATTTCACTCACTTCCAGCAGTGTAATTATACGAGGTTATGTCAATATCTAGCTTTTTACATTTAATGAAAACAAAATAACCAAAATTGGTCTTTCTGGACACATCCTTGTATTACTTCACGTGGGATTAATGAGCCCTGCCAGGCAAAATTAATGCCAGAATGAGCAACTTAACACATGCGATTGGTCAAGGTAGGTATGCATCTTATCTCAACTGTTACAACCATAACACATACATTTATTTTCGTACACTTGTACGTTATATTACAAACCTCTACCAAACGCTAGGTGACCAGGGTAGTTTGTGAACCACTTCTAAGTATTCCGTAATCGTTAATTTCTTTTCTTTGTAAAATAACATTATACTCGACGTCATGAGCTACATTAGGTCCACTTCAGTTTACGATCATGGGATTTTCGATTGTGATAGGTACGAAGTTTTTCTAAATTATTCAGTCATCTAATGGACCTTAACGCGAGTGCATTTTCTTGGACTGAACCATAACTTAATACCAAACATAAACAATAACATTACCCCAAAAAGCAGCTGATTCGTAATTAATTTGCGATTGTGCAGGGCCGGCATCAAAACTGTTATAATTTTATCATTTTTTATTTTATTTCAAAAGTCAAAAGTGTTATAACATTTTTTATTCCAAATGTCCGTAGGAATTTGTGGTATAAATATTACTTATTATAACTGGGACACCCTATATAATAACGTAACAGTATGTTTGGCACGTCAGCCCAAACCGTGCATACAATGCGCGTATACATTTCGTCGGTATAATATGGTCACTTACAATTACTTCAGCAATCAATGCATATTTTTATATTTGATTTTTGTAGACGTAGGCGCTAAGATTTACATCTGGTATTAAAAACGCATTCACCTACAGTAAAATTCCTTTTCCGAGAGTTTGTGTAAGTCCAATCACATGTGCTAATACTTATACCTTTTATCATTTTATAAAATCCACAATTGCATGGTACGGTATAGGGATTATGAAACATTTTCCCTCATAGGCGCCATGTTATTAAGGCTTTGCCCATTTGATGGATAACAATTTTTTTTCTCATATTTAAAGAACGATAATCATTACAATTTAGGCATACCTATTCATCTATAATATCTAGATTCTTGTTGACTTTGAAAATAGCAGACAAAATCGTAAATAAACTTTGTTCAAATTTATCCAATTAAAAGTTTTCTTCGTTTATAAAAATATTTCATAAGGAATACAAAACTAGCTTATTAATTTCTAAAGTAGTTACCTATGAGTTGCGGCATTTCTTAAAGCTTGAATGATGTCATCATGGTAACCGTTGAGACTTTTCAGTGTTCGTTCCACTTCCGACATACTTGCAGCACTTAGCAACTGGTTAACATTTGAATCACTTCTAGAAATCATACCATCTGAATGGGGCCCGTCGTTCCATGACTCCTTTGCATTCGCTCCCATCATCCATCCGTAAGGATGCTTTTTTAATATACCTTTCTTCTCCGGGTGTTTAAGATTATTATGCTGAAGATCTATAAATGATACTGACTCATCATCAGCTGAAACAGCGGAAATGAAAGTAAAGTTACCACTGTGTCAATTTGATTGTTCGCAACTTAAAGAAACTGAAAAATCGTACCAACCTGAATGGATTTGATCTTCGTCACTTGCCGTGGACTGTGCGATCCTTTTCATCTGCTGCATTTTGTGATCTCTATAATTAGAATATTACTTGTGATTGTACTATGGTGTAACAATGGGCTTGTTCAGCAACTTTTTTCATAAATCAAAAGTGCAAGGGAAAAATAAGAGAACCGTAAAAAATCGAAATTTTATTCGCACGTTTAGTGTCTTAAAAACAATTACAAATCGCCTCTTCTACGGAAAAGGGGCATGGTCAAGCATTACATAATTATACGTATAGGTTACGTTATTATGCCCGACTCTATCTATTAGTCGTTACAGGCTGTATTTAGGCAATATTCTTTGTATTATTATACAAAGTTTTATTCAATATAGCTGCAAAAATATGGTTGTTAGTATTGTAGAATTTCAGTATGTATAAATACAAATACTTCGTATAAATGATTTATTTGTTTGCCTTCCGACATTCCAAAAAGAAGAGTGACTTTTTCCGCCGAAACCAAGACTTTTTGTTTCACTATAAAAACCATTTTATATTTTATTTTGTTTTGAATATAAGTTGAAGAGGATATAGAGACTATCTTTATATAAGAACAATAAAAAAGGGGGATAATTAAATCATAACATTTTGGTTGTCAAAAAAAACAAGACGCTGCATTGGACAAAACACACTAAGGTGACACAGTTGCCATTTTTGCTTCTGTAAGAGTTTTTCATAGTTTCATAGTTATTAATAGTACGTATAATCTTTGACTTTAGGTAACAAAATAATTCCTGTTGCTTATTACAGAGGACATGCCCACGTGTAGTATTTATTTTTGATAAGCTTTTTGAAGGTAAATAGGCATGTAATTGGTCAATTTAAATTTTTTAGAGAAAACCAAATAAGAAAAAAAGGCAAAATAACAAATTTTACTATAATTTTTTTTATACCTATTCATAATAAGGATCACAGTTTGTATACAAAAATAATCATTAATTATAGTTCTTTATTTTGCAATAGGATCCATTTTAACTTTGCTATTTTATATCATTCTTTTCTTTGCTCAATTGATTAACTATTAGGAGTAAAATATGCATCCAGTATTAGTACATTCAAATAGTAGTAATCAGGTAAAATTTATTATTTATGATGGATTTAAAGAAAAAGTTTGAAATTATATCTTATGCATTACCAGTGTTGATAATCGTTTATTAAACTATAATAACGTAGCTACTTTGCAGCCTTATTCAATTCATTTCTATATATTCGTGAGTACTCTTCACTATTATTAAAATAGTCCATAATCATAAACATTTCAACTTGTGATATTTATGTTAACAGAGGCAATTTTATTAAAACCAACATTATTTGAATACAATTTTCTAGAATACCACGTTTTATCTGAACGGCTGCTAGCGGTCACTATGTATCTCCGAGTCCAGAGTTGAGTATTGTGACGTCATGAGCGGCCACATTGTGTTTGCTGTTAATACAAATTTCAATCTCTTATATCTCGAAAACAGATTATAGCATTGGATAGATTTTAACGGTTGAAGTCAGTTGATCACAAATTATTTCCCGAGTTTGATGAAAATGGCCCTAAAGTCTTCTTCTCTTGGATATTTCGCAGATAGTCATGCTCAATACAGTTACACCCCATGGAAGACTGACGCATCAATCCCGATAAATAATTTTTTAATTAACAGATTACACTTAGTAAACTTGTGGCCAGAAAGGTTTACAGTGGAAATATCAAATCATATTCTAGTGTTTAAGTTGCTATTAAAAGAAATTTGCTTAAATTTGAAAAATTCTAATAACTCTATAATAATAATAGTAATAAACTATGTGGTATCTAAGAATATCCGGTGGGTAATTTAGAATATATTTTTATAACAATACAATACTAAATTTCACGACAATTTCTCTTATTGCTCCATTTTCATTTTCTTTTTTTCTTGTTAATTTCAAAAGTGCCATGTTGAAATATTCAGAAAGTCGAAATCCTTAGCAAGACCTAGTTAAACAATTATATCTATATTCCCGACATATTTACCATCACGATCACAACGTTTCTGATGAAAACCACTAATTGAGTAAAGCAAGAGTTACTTCCAGATTCTCTAGATCATTAATATTCACTTCAAAAATGTCAGACAATAATTTATCCGACTACAATGTATATGCAAACTTGTAGATTTCGTTAAACTCCTCTCCAAACACGAATTTTTATGTGAGCCTTACCCAGTGCAATAGCAATTTGTAAATTGTGCTATATGTGGTAACCTGGCTATCAAGAATAATTTGAAAATGAATCAATTGATTTGTTTCATTTTTGATTGGATCAGTGGATGTCGTCAGCAGGAGTTCGCGAGATCGAAATCGCATTCTACAGAAGCGGTGTTTGCATAACAATATTACATCATCTTATAAAAAACTCATTGATTATTGTCGGTAGCACTCGGTAAAATTAAACGTATAAGGACAAATTTATCGTTTTATAAACACTAATTATATGTTTGATAAGTTTTGATAGATAGTTGGTATTATATTGTATTATATTCGTCTTCTGGCTTTTTCTATTCCTGTTTTTTTTTCCTAGTTTTACAGCGGGTCATAATTAGTATAGTAGAAGCTATCTTGTTATATTCCATCAAGCGAAAATACATGTTCTGTTAATTATAAACTAATTTAGGTCATATTATTTGGCTGAATTGTTACCAACAGAAAACTTACTGAAAATGTGAAGATCCTGCGGCACTCATGTGATTAGCTGGACGAAATAGAACTCTTTGAGAATCTCCTCGACTAAACATAAAAAATTAAGTTATTCTGATGTCCACGATACAAATACATCTATGACTTTTAGGAAAAATGTGAGTGCAACAGGAAAACAAGTGTCTTTGAAGTTAGCGATGTTGCCAGGAATGTTCCAGAAAGCACAAAGTAGTGTTGTCAGTACAAGAATGAAGAAAGATAACAATGATGCAGCAAGTACAGTACAACAAAGAGGAAACTTATTCTTTAACGCTGATTTAGTGGTAGTAGTGGTTAGTAGTGATAGTAGTAGTGGCTGTGGCCGTGGTCTGAAATTCTGTAGAACGCTATTACTGTTTTCATTTCTTGTATCTTAGAAAAACAGTGGGAAACTTCCTAACCGAGCATGCCGTTGTTTATGCAATTTGGATCATTCTTGTCTTCTACATTTTTTTAATATTATAATGAAGATTAATTTAAGATTAAGATTACATTACATTCTTTGTGCTTTCTGTTTATATTATAATGATTTGTGTTATTGGTTAACTAGTTTAGTAAAAGCAAATGTTGTAATACCTGGAAGCCATCTACATCATACAAGAGCAAGAAACACAAATTTATAATAGACTGACGACTAATTAAGTAGGTAAATAGAAATTTAATATCAATTATTCCACTCTTAATTGTCAAAGTTACAAGAAATAATTTCAATAAAGAGATCACACAAAAATGTAATAGACGAGTCGTTTTATTACAATTCAGAGTGGGTCATTTAATTCATGATAAGTAAAGTTAACTACAAAACACATTTACATTTGCCAAATATTTAAAAAATGATAGATGAAGAAGTATACAGCATTCAGCAACGAAATAAGAATTACCAGTCGTTCATCTTTCACACAGGATGTAATATTTCGATTTGATAAACTGTGTCTTTATAAACCGAAGGACTGCACTGTAAATATTACATGTAAAGCACTACAAAACCATCGCATTTGCTATGTATGGTCGGAAAAAGAGCAAAATTTAAGAAAGACTTAATCAATGCAATTTTGCAAATAAGTGAATTATTATCGATCTATTCTGCTTCAGGGTTTAATCAAAATAGAACGCACTTAAGCGTAACATTGTATTGATAATTTTTTCATAGAATTTTTTGCTTTATACAACGATATATAGCGAAAGCGATGTCTTTTTATCGACCTGTATAATGACTCAGAGAGAAACGCTCTTTAATATCTCACAAATTTATAGGATAAAACATAGCTTTATTATATTCTTTTATTTTACAGAGGCACCTTCGGAAAAATTTGTGAAATATTAAAGACTGTAAAGGTAGTAGAAGTTTTTAGTCAAAAATTTATTGAAACTACTAGATGTGGAAGACGATTTTATTGCGTTTATATGCGGCGCACGTCATATACGTGATAGGCACTATTATGCACGTAAACTGTGGTCGATTTCATCATTAATAAGAAACGTTAATTCAATGTATTAGTGAATTAATTTTACCCACTACAAATAACAATTATATATTAGTTCGACAATTCTGCGACATATACTCTTAGGTACGTACTGTCGGTGTTGGTGGTGTCACCTCTTTGCAACTTACAATTAATAGTAGAGTACTGGTGCGTAAAATTAGGGGCCCGGGTTCGATTCTCGACAAAGGAGTGACAACAGCAACAATTTCTCTTCGTTGATTTGAGGTTATCTGTAGTGGGTAAAATTAATTTAGAAATTAAATCACTAATAGGTCTTCGAATTTCGTTTGGCAAGTAGATACACCTTAGCAAAGCAGTTGTCTAACATATGAGATACTTCAGTTAGCTGCAGATATAAGTAAATGACAATATACATCCGTAATCGGATAACACATAAGTTTGTCTTGAAGAATATTTCATTAGAAGCCTTTAAGAAAATTAACACCATAAACAATCAGCTATCTGTAATATTATTTAAAAACACATAGCTCTACAGAAATCTAGTTGGGTCTTTGGATTAAATAATACATAATAATAAATAAAATAAACACAAATAATTTACAGAAAAATATATCAAATTCAAATGGGTTTTGTCAAACATCTACGATGTTTTCTTTTGGTCGGTAAACAACCATTAACAGAAAATTTTATTAAGACAGACGATTCGTGTTTTTGGTACGTTTTTCTATTATTTAAGCTTTGTTCTGAGGATCAACTCATCATTATATATATAGTGATGTAATACTTTAACGTCACACTGTTTTGGCTTCATATTATTCGTTTTTGGTGTTGTACTTATCTATAAATGAAGTTAGACGGTAGTTATGTTTAAACGAATGCATATGTGTACCATTTCGTTTTGTGATTCTATTCTAAAAATTTCTTAATCTCGGAAGATCCAAGAGTCCATCCTGGGCAGCGAATAATACAACAATAAGACACAGACCCCTTCTAAACTTATTTAAACAATCAATTTATATCAGAGAAATAAGAACTGCAGAAGAACTACGGCATAAATTAAAGGATCTAAACGATTAACGATTAAGAAATTGAGGTCAATGAGTTCAGCAGGGCTTGGGAACCTAGACAATATGGAGACATAATAGGTTACTTACGTTATAAACACTGTTCGATATCTAAGGTCTATTAACAATAAATAGATAGTGCCACTGTTTCTAAATGGTTTACCTTAAAAGTATTTATCAGTGGTAATTGCCATAGAACTTAGTGACAATAATACCGATGTGTAATGAAAACAAAACTCTTGGAAATGACTTTTAGCAATTATCAAAATGGTATGCGAATAAAAGGTGCATTTTTTTGTAATAAGAGTAGCGAGTCAAAACGAAATGAATGGTGGATATACCTATCGAAATGGCAACGACAAAAGAAGTATATCAACAACAAATAGAAACGGTAATGGTAATGCTAGCACATTTACATGAATGCATTAAATTATGCAGCAAAATAGTTATGATAATAAAAATATTCGTTGTTATAGGTGTAAACGAGAGTAGAGGTCAAGCCTTCTGATAGGATACATAAATAGTGGAATGTTAGCAAAGAAAAAATTACGAATGTATAGAAACTATAAATAGATGTCAGGAAAAAAAAAGATTTTGGAGAGAAGAGTTTGCTGCATAATTTAGGAAATGAGCAGAAACAGGAACTTAAAGGAAATACTAAATTGAAAAGAAGACACATTATGGAGGAAAATGAAAATATTAAAGGTATAGAGAGAGGTAAAACAAATGAACTACAGATGACAGATCGTAACAGTGAAGACAATAAACAAAGCATACAAGTTAGAGACATATTAGAGGCAGAAACAGGAGTTAGGAGGGGTAGAGGTAGACCTAGATTAGATTACTGTTCGCAAATAGTTAAGGATGTGGGTTGTTCTAGTTTTAGAGAAATGAGAAGTTTAGCTCAGGATAGGAAAGAGTGGAGGTACGTGTCCAACCAGTCTTAGGACTGATGACCTTATGATGATGATGACAAGTTAAAAAGGTACGAAATGAGGAAAAAGACACAATCAAAGGAGAGATGTAAAGTAAGAAAGTGGAAAGTACAGATGCTTAAGAATAAAATTTATGGAGTGAGATTTGGATCTAAGGAACAGAAAATGAAAGTAAAGAAAAATACAAAACCTGAAAGAACAAATGTTTACATCAATAAAAACTTAACTAAGGTAGAATGATGGAAAAGAAAATATTATAAGACAAACGGTAGTTTGTTTGAGTAGATATTTCGGTACAGAGCTACAAACTTTAAACAGTCTATGATGCATTTGACGATTCCTGAATTACACGAACCGATGGATCGCCTCTTCCTCCCGATTTCGCGGACTTCCCTTAATCTCCCTCGCGAACTTTACTTCATCTTCTCTTTCCTCATTTCTCTTTGCTTTTTATTGAACCCCACATAGTGTTTGTTTTCGTCATCGTTACGTGATACTTTTGAAATTTTATCTCAGACCACATTGACCATGCTTCCGTGTAGGGGTTCTGAGTTTCGCAAAGTCGACCTAATATATCCCGGAACCATAACAAATGCAATGGAGAAGTTTGATGATGTTGTTAATATTATATTCAACGTAATGGTATTAAAATATAGATCAAAATTAATCAATCACCGAAAGAATTTTTGAAATTCATCAATAAATGACCTAGAAATAGATTATTGAAGATAACATATTTTAGTACGGAACGTCTACGGTTTCTGATTCGCTTGTGACGTCATTCGACCTATTCAATATCACCGCACCACGAATCATTCAAGTATTAGTTTCAGAGTCGCGCTAGGGCTCTTGCTTCGTTCGTGTTTATTTAATTTTTAACTGTTGTGCATTGACACATAGGAACAATAGAATATTTGTAGGTATTTTTTTTAACTTTTGCCATCGGGTAAATAAACAAAATACGAGTCGAACGGCGTAAGTTCCTACACAACAATACATTCATACGTACTCGGCGAATACGTGCGACGTCACACAATGGAGTGCCGCGTGTAACAAAATTATTCTTGCAAGCGCAACTTTAAAGTCTTTCTTATTTCTTGAGATATTTTATCGATTCTTTCACGTGTTTATTTTGTTCTATTTAATGTTTTATAATTTATCCATAAAAAAATGGAAACTTCTTCATTGTGTACGATAGTTCCGCGTTTCGAAAGTGACGCAGACTTTATTATAGGAAAATGAAAAATATACTTTTAGAACAATGTTAGGGGAAAGAAAAATAATTTGGATGTTAATTATAGTTACGCAGGTGGGACTGAAATAGAAAAGTAGGACATAGAATGATTTGTTATTAGGATTCAAAATAAAAAAGTAAAACTGGAAATGAAGGAATTTAATAGGGAAGTTATAATGCTAAACGGGGCAATATTTAATGAAAAATTGAAAACTTTCCTTATATATATGAATAAAATAAGAAATAAAAGCTTTGAATTAATAGAGAAACGTTTTGTAATGTATAATGGCAGTAACATATTGACTGTTAGAGATTTTAATGTTAGAGATGGGAGGGAAATGTTTACAGTAATGGATTAACGGGTCAAGCAAGA